AGCGGGTATCGCAAATGCAGGACAGAGGAAGGCCCCGTGTGGCAGGGGTGGGAGGCAGGCACAGAAGTGTAATGGGGCCATCTGTGGCTGAGCGACCGTGCGTGACTGCTTTAGGCTTTGCTTTTCGTACGATCGGTCTCACTCCAAACTGGCTGTGATATACAGCTGATGTTTTTGCAACCAGGATTTTTTAAAACCTGCCTGGGCTCTGGCGGTGGGGGCGGGGTGGGCACTGGGATGGGGCAGTGAGAAACAGCAGGTGAGGGGCGTCGCGCGCGGGACGCTGGCATCCGGCTCCTGCTTTTCTCTGGAACTGTGTCTGAGCACCGCTCTCGCCATCGCGGGGACGGCACAGGGTCTGCTGTGGAGGAAGGCCCTCGGTGAAAGGTTATCAAAAGCTCACAAAGGCCAGGTGCAGGGGCTCGCGCCTGTAATCCCAGCACTTCGCGAGGCCAAAGGGGGAGGATTGCTTGAGTCTAGAAGTTTGAGACCAGCCTGGGCAACATACCAAGACCCCATCTCTATAAAAAATTTTAAAGTTAGCCAGGCGTGGTGGTGTGTGTCTGTAGTCTCATCTACTCGGGAGGCTGAGGCGAGAAGATCTCTTGAGCCCTGGAGTTTGAGGCTACGGTGAGCTATGATCACGTCACTGTACTCTAGCCTGGGTGACAGAGGGAATCCCTGTCTCTTAAAAAAAAAAGTCTGGGTGGCTGGACAATTGAGAAGATACTCTTGAAAGAAATATAGGGTTTTTGGGTGGCAGCCAGTTTCGGAGGAAAGATCTGAAGAACCACTTCAGATCCACTTCAGGGGCCTGTGTCAGTTGTTACGACAGACAGAAATGGAGAAGAAAGGCCGGGTGGAAGTGAAGGTGGCTTTTGACTCTGCAACCTAGAACTGGTCCTTCCTGAAGTGACTGATTAACCACCCCCGTCCCGTCCTGTTTGGATCCGCAGGGTGTTCCTGGAGCTGCATCTGTCTGGGCAGAGGCCCTGGTGCCCTGGGGCTGTCCCAGTCCTCGCCTTTGTGGGTTTAGACGGGATGTGGTGGCAGCTCGCACCTCTGCCCCAGCAGCTCCTCGGAGGCGCCGCGGCCGGCCCAGAGCAGCAGCGCGAGCCGGCCCTGGGACCTGACGCGCTTGCTCTCCCGGGTTCTCCACGTGAACGTCGCAGTCTGCTTGCAAGGGCACATCCCATCTCCTGTGACTCATGGAGTGCGTTAGGGAAAAGAAGTCTTTACTTTACACTGAAATCTCCTGAATTCAAATTTATGAGATTATATGGGGCAAAGATGTGTGACATCGTCTTTTGGGGGGCAGTTTCTACAGATGAAGTTTCTTGCTCTTTTTAAAACCACCGTGTTTTTCTTTTCCTCCAAAGAAAAATTGTTTCACCCCATAGGACAAAATAACTTCAAACACTGAGTCTGTCTCGTAAAAAGAATAATGGTTTGGTGGAAACCCAGAGAGCCTTGGGTGTGACATCAGGCCCTGGGGTCTGTCACTGGTGGGAGAAGTCAGTGGCCCAAGACCCGCACCCTCTGCCCCGTCTGCAGGCCGACCTCAGAGCCAGCCTCAGGTGGAGCGCTCGCTTGCCGGGAGGAGGATGCTTGCGGGTTTGACCTGGCTCCTGTGCGTTTATTTCAGATCATCAGAAAAGCCCTCACTGAGGAAAAACGTGTCTCAACAAAAACTTCAGCTGCAGATCTTGTAACAGAAACGGATCACCTCGTGGAAAACTTAATTATTTCCGAGTTGAGAAAGAGATTTCCTTCACACAGGTAGGTGTATTCCTCATGGAAAACACTCAGGTAATACTTGCCATCCTCGTGGGAAAGGCAGGGTCTGGGGCTGGGGGTTGCCGTTTGTTGATGGGTCAGACTCGCAACCTTAAGCTCCACGGCGTGAGCCCAGATCCTTCAGTGGCAGAGTAAACAAACTGACCCCGTTTTGCACTTTTTTTTTTTTTTTTTTGAGACAGCGTCACATGCTGTCTCCCAGGCTGGAGTGCAGTGCAGCCTTGAACTCCTGGGCTCAAGCAATCCTCCCACCTCAGCCTCCTGAGTAGCCGGGACTATGCCACCATGCCTGGCTAATTTTTAAATTTTTTGTAGAGACAGGATCTCACTGTGTTGCCCAGGCTGGTCTCGAACTCTTAGTCTCAAGTGATCCTCCCGCCTTGGCTCCCAAAATGCTGGGATTATAGGTGTGAGCCACCGCACCTGGCCCTGTTTTCATTCGTGTTCCTATTGTCCTGACAGCCACCATCCTGTCAACATACCACCCTACAAATACTGAAAAGGCTGTACTTTGTGCAGCACTCAGGGAAAGCTCCCTGCCTCCCTGCGCTAAGCTGTTTATTATTTCTGGAGGGATTCGGTAGATGCGTGACCCCCAGGAGCCCAGAGCAGTGACGTTGCTGGCAGCCCGTGCCTGTGCGGCCGGCCGCCCATGCCGACGTTCCCAGGAGGGTGGGATTCAGTGGGGACGCCAGCCGGGTGGGGCCCCTCGCCGAGGCTGGAGCGTGCAGCCGGGCACCGGGACTCTCCCCACAGAAGCCCTGTGCGAGGACGCCACTCTCCTCTTCTGCTTTTTCTCTGGGGACTGGGTCTCGCCATGTTGCCCTGCTGGCCTTGAACTCCTGGGCACAAGTGATCTTCCCATCTCAGCCTCCCAGGTATCGTCCTCTTCAGAGCAGAAGTTCTTAACCTTTGTGGGATCACCCTGTGGAGAATGTGGTCTTTTCCTCTGAAAAATTAAAATATTTACATAGCATTTTGCATACAGTTCAAAGGGAGCCAGAGACCCCAGATTGAGACCTCTTCTTTAGCTCTGGGGGCTCTGAGACCCCTCCCTCCCGCCCAGAGTTCTAAAGAACAGATTTCGAAAGCCAGTCCCTTAGATGCAATGGGTCTCTTTCCTTCCTTGTGTAGATTCTCTTAAAATTGTTGGATTCCTAAAACTGGGACAGCAGTTATTGGATTTCTGGGCGTACACTGTGGTAGCTGCCAGTTCAGGTTCACGGGGACGTAGGCGGCAGAGAGGGAAGGCCGCCGCCCTCCGCATCCATTGGGCACACGGCAAGCTCAGTACGGTCTTTTCCCGTGATTGACCGTACAAATGAAAGAACAAGCCCGTGTTAGAACTCTCAGCCTCCTTTTTTCTTGTTTCCTTCTGCCTGGTTAGGTTATCTCAGGGTCACCTGCTCTCCCTTTGAAATTCTCCCTGCCAGGGGGCTGTGTTTGTTTTGTTGACAGCCTTTGTGTTCGAGCTCATATTTCCTATTTCCTTATTAATAGGTTTGAAGTCAGTATTTCTGGCATCTGGTGTAAGATTTATAAGCTCTAAAATATTTGTGATTTTTTAAAAACTTTTTAAAACCCAATTTTACTCACATGGCAGTGTTAGAAGAATTTATCATATAGGTTGCTCTTATTCTTTGAGAGGAAACATGCTACAGTAACCAGCAGCTATTTTAGGAACTTTATTGCCTGTTTTGGTCTGGAGGTTTCCGTGGCCATGACCACATGGCCATGACAGAGGAGGGCTGGCTCTTTGGCGCGGGGTCTGGTAAAGGCAAGACCAGGCGCGACGAAGCCGTGAGGGCTCTGGTGTGCTTTAATCGGGTTACTTGGGAAGCTGCACTCTGAGATTGCACGCCCTGCTGTGCATGTTGGCAGCAGTTGCCGGTGGTTTGGATCCACTGTTGCTTAAATATGTGGACTCGATTCCATTTGTAAAGGGTCAACTTAGATGCTCATGGCTGTACACACAGGGTGAAAGTTAATGTATCGTGGGGTGGGCCCGGGTGTCCCCACCTCCGCCTGCAGCCTTGGGGTCACCAGGGACCACTGGGCTTCTGAGCCCCTTTAGGAAACCATGACCCAGAGCGGTGGCTCTTAGGTGGGGTCTGTGTCAGGCTCACCTGGGGAGCATCCTCCCTGGGCTGGCACCAGGCCTCCATCTCTAAAAGTGACCCCTAGGACAGTCAGACCCAGACATCTGTTCAAGATCCAGTAATCGAGAGCCCTGGTTCCTAAACACCATTCCACGAGCTCCCGTGGACAGGGCAGTCAGGGCCAGGACTTTGGCTGCCGCACAGTTAGCCCCAGGCTCCTTGTCACCTGTCATCCCTGGTTCTGGGGGCAAACACTGGGCCGTGGTGAAGGCAGGCTGTCTTCCTGTTCTCTGCTCAGCTTGCCTCGAAAATTCATAAAATTGTTTTTCAACATGTCTATGTGAAGTGTGTTTTTTGTCAGTAACTAAGATTAAAAAGTAAGTGCTAGAATCTTGGGCATTTAGTTGTTTTAGATCATGGACATATTGATAGATTTACAATGAGAAAAAATTGCATGCATATTACAAAACAGTGTATTGTAATGTTTCTGCTTTCTAAGTATTTAAATATAACTCTAAACAATACGTTTAATATAAAGTTGCCTGTCATCCTTTTTTTGGAAAGACTTTTTTTTTGAGACAGAGTCTCACTGTGTTGCCTGGGCTAGAGTGAGTGCCGTGGCGTCATCCTAGCTCACAGCAACCTCAAACTCCTGGGCTCAAGTGATCCTTCTGCCTCAGCCTCCCCTGGGACTACAGGCATGCACCACCATGCCCGGCTAATTTTTTCTATGTATTTTTAGTTGTCCGATTAATTTCTTTCTATTTTTAGTAGAGACGGGGTCTCACTCTTGCTCAGGTTGGTTTCGAACTCCTGAGCTCAAACAATCCGCCCGCCTCGGCCTCCCAGAGAGCTAGGATTACAGGCGTGAGCCACCGCGCCCGGCCAGGAAAGACTTTTATTCTGAGCTTTTGTCTTTCCTTGTTTTTTGTCTTTTGTGACACTTTTCAAGATAAAGTATAGCTGTTTTGGGTTTTTTTGTTTTTGTTTTGAGACAGAGTCTCTGTCTCCCAGGCTGGAGTGTAGTGACATTGTCACAGCTCACTGTGACCTCAGCTCCTAGGCTTAAGCTACTCTCCTGCCCCAGCCTCCCAAGTAGCTGGGACTACAGGCATGTGCCAACGCACCCAGCTAATTTTTCTATTTTTGGTAGAGACGTGGTCTTGCTCTTGGGTCTCACACTCCTGGCCTCAAGCGACCCTGCTGCCTTGGACTCTCAGAGTGCTAGGATTACAGGCGTGAGCCACCCTGCCCAGCCTGTTTTGTTTTTAATACAATAAAAAACAACCTGATGTAGGCTCCCTGGTTTTATTATTTTATATTATGCATCTGTGAAACCCAAAGTCTTGGGTCCCTGACCTGGAAGACAGGCATAGACCAGAACTGAGAACAATACGGTTCACACTTGCTTCTGGCCGTGGCCCTGGCAGCTCTGGCAAATCACCGCGCTCCTCAGGGTCTCAAACTCCTCTCCTGTGAATGAAGGACCAGACCACGGTGCTCCCTAAGGCCCCAGCATCTGACTTTAAACGTGCTATGGTAACGACAGAAAGCAAACCAGCAAAGTAAGGTCGGGTTTTTACAGGCTGTGTCTTTGAGGTTCGTTGGATGCCTAAACCTGTTTTCAGTTGTGATTCTGAGTTAGATCCAAACGTAGCTGCTCTGAAAATACTCTGTAGTATTGCTGAACTAGTACTGCTATAAACCCTGTGCTTGTCTGCCGCTGCCGAGCGGCCTTGTCAGAAGCCGTCTGGGTTGCCTCAGGCAAAGGACAGAGCACGGCAGCCCTAGTGTGGCCCACCGCCTCCTCCGCTCAGGCCAGGACCCTTCGTGAGCTGGCGCCCTGCGGTGTGCCTGGCGCCGCGCGGTGCCTGTGGACGCACCGGTCAAGCAAAACGCCAGAGTCCTGGACATGGAAAAACACATTCCTGGCCACCACCAGCTAGACATTTGCTTCCAGTCATTTTGCACCGGGCTCTTGTGTCACCTTCAGGCAGGAGCCTGTGGAATGACTGGCAGGGACAGGGCAGTGGCTTGTGAGGATGGGGCAGAGCAATGTTAATCAGCCACTCCGTGGACTGACCCTGAGCTTGTCACAGAGTAAACAGACTAAGTAGCCAGAAAAAGAGTCTTAGAGGCACTTGGCTGTCAAAATTACAAGGAGGGCCGGGCATGGTGGTGCACGCCTGCACTCCCAGCAACTTGGGAGGCTGAGGCAGGAGGATCGCTTGAGCCCAGGAGTTTGAGACCAGCCTGGGCAACACAGTGAAACCACATCTCCAGAAAAAACAAAAAATGAACAAAAAATTACAAGGGAAGGTTATTACAACTACTTTTTTTAAAAAAAGGAAATTGGTCAAATTATGCAGTAGAATGTATTCTGACTTGTTACCAAACTTTTAACCTTAGCCTGGTTGCTGTTTCCTCTCGTCTATCAGATAGACTTAGGAAACGCTCTTTTTGCTCCCTGAAGTTAGTCACATGCATTGTTTTTCTCTGTTTATGTAGATTTTCCAGAGGCTTGTAGGAAAGCCTCTGTTACCTCACGCTTACGTGTGTGCAAGGCGGCCTGTCTCCACTTCCCCTGCCCAGAGCTGTAGGATGCTCTCTCCTGTTTTGTAGGTATCAGCTTCTTACATGAAGGAAATCAGGTTTAAGTAAGTAAAAATTACGCATCCCTCCCCACATATGAGGGAAATATTTTTGGTGTCTTCAGAGACTGGACGTGGTCCACGCCTCTGCTGCCTTCAGAGGCCCTGCCCACAATGCTGCGCACAGGCGTGAGGCCAGTAGGGCCTGAGGGATGTTCATTCCGTCTTTGAGGCGGGCAGGTGGGCTCATGAGCAGAAGGTACAGAGGTTGGCAGAGAGGAGGAGAACTCCAGGGCTTGAATTGTCAGCTGCTGGAAAGTCCAGCACTCAATGTGGGCCTTTGATTACTCCCATCAAAAATGTTTTGCAAGCCCGGTGGGGTGGCTCACACCTGTAATCCTAGCACTCGGGGAGGCCGAGGCGGGGGGATTGCTTGAGCTCAGGCGTACCAGACCAGACTGAGCAAGAGCGAGACCCCGTCTCTACTGCAAATAGAAAATATTATCTGGGCGTGCTGGCGCACACCTGTAGTCCCAGCTACTCAGGAGGCTGAGGCGGGAGGATCACTTGAGCCCAGGAGTTTGAGGCTGCAGTGAGCTGTGATGATGCCACGGCACTCCAGCCTGGGAGACAGGGCGAGACTCTGTCTCAAAAAAAAAAAAGAAAGAAAGAAAAGAAAAAGTTTGCAGAGCAGCTTTGTTAACAGGAGCATTATGGTGCCTGTTGTGAAAACAAGCTGCTTGGTGACCTCCGCCTGCACATTTGGCACATGAACAGGCAGAGCTCACAGCCCCGAGTGTCCCAGAAGCCCCCGGATATGCTGGGTGGGTAGCCTGGGTGCTGCAGGCTGTGCTTTCTGAGGGACGTTGGTGTTAATGCCTGCAGACACCCACTCCCTCTTCCTTCAGGGCACCCGGCAGCTACCTCTCCAACTCTCCAATTTCCTACTTGAAATCAGATTTAAAAAGGAAAAGAATTGTACGTTTCCTCTTCAACTTCTTGGGAACTTATCTTTGCATGTGAGTCATTTCTAGGCCCTTCTGGACTGGAATCATGTCTTTTCACTGCTTTGTCAACCTTGTGCCCAACTCAGGCTTTGGCGCTTGCTCCTTGCGTATGTGTGTTTTTAGGGTGTGGACCTTTTTCTTTACAAACATAATCGCGAGCCATTTCAGGGGTGGAAAAGCACGCAGCTGCAGAGGACGCCATCAAGGCGTGTATTTCCAGATCATTTACCTATAAAATGAGGGGCTGTGTCATGCAGGGTGTGAACTTCGCGACCCGTGAGGACAGTCCCAGTGTGGTTGTGGGACCAGGATGGTTACGGAACACGTGGCAGCTCCACGAGCACGGGAAGGGACCTGGAACGCTTGCTGTTGTCGCTCAGCACCACGGCTGAGGCCGGCACTGCCCCGCAGAGCTGCGTCTACACGCCCACGTGGCAGCCGCTGGCCCCGTGGCACTGCAGAGCGCTTGCAGGTGGCTAGTGAGACCCAGGAGCTGCAGTCTGAATTTTACTTAATTTAAATGTGAACAGCCACACGCTGCGAGTGGCCGCTGTAATGGGCAGAGCAGGTACGGAGGTTTCTACTGGAGCCTCCTCATGCACGATGACGTCTTGTCAGTCCCATCTGCAAGTACCGTGATGCCAGATCTGAGGCCACGTGGTTCCTGCAGGGAAGTGGCTTCCAGAAGTGCTTCGAGGCGGAGGGCCAGGCAGCCACTCACCACGATGGGTGACGTGCCAAACGCGGGCAGCAGGACACGAGGCATTTCTTGCTTTTTCACTCATGTTTCCTTCTTAGTAAAATGTATTCTCTGCAGGCCTCCTTTTTCTCTAGCGCACACGTGAACGTGGCACGAGAACCGGATAGAACGCCTCTCGGCAAGGCCACGGAGTCCTGCACAAAACACACCTTTGCTCAGCGCCCGCCAGGGCCCCGCCCTCAGCACACTTAGCACGGTTCTGAACATGCTCCCGGCGCCCTCTGTGCCAGGCGCCGTCCTGTGTGCTGTGGGTGTTTTCTTCAACCCCAGGACTCTGGGAGGGTAGGCAGCGGCCAGCTCTGCAGGGAGGGCCAGCAGGGGCAGGCTGCGGCACACCTCTGACCTCTGACCGCGGGAGGCGCCTCCCTGAGGTGTGGGCACGGGCGGGGGAGAGGGGCGCAAAGGGCAGGATGCGGCGACTTGCCCAGGTTCCGGCCTGAGCAGTGAGTGCTTGGCGATGGCACTCGCTGAGGCAGGGGCACGTGGGGGGACCAGGAGTTCCCTTCTGCGCAGGTTAGTCTTGAGATGGCGGTCGTCTTGTCAGGTTCCTCACGCGATCGGTGGCACACTCGGATGAGGATAGGTCGGGGACATGTTTGCAGAGGGCGCCTTACAAAGGAGGGGCTCGCACAGGGCGCACTACGGAGAGGCCACGGGGAGGAGGGAGTGTCCCATCCCCACTCCTTCCCCTCGACCCCGCCCAGCCTGCTCCCAAAGGAAGCCAGAGGCCAGGGCGGGAGGGCGTCGTTGGAAACAAGATGGCGGGGGCTGCTGCTGTCACCTGTGTCTGCAGTTCAGGGGATGCCAAGCTGGGAACACACGTGGGCGGTGTCAGTTGCAGGTGACATTTAACCCCTCGGTGCCTAGGTCCCAGCACTGCCTGGAGGAGGGCTCAAGCGGAGTCCTGGGCCCGCCTGCAAGCCTGCGTCCTTCACACTGCGCTCTGCCTCTCTCGTTAGCCTCTCTGCAGACCGCAGTTAAAGCAGAGTTTGGCTTTGCCCCATGTGCTGTTTCCCCGTGTTCTTCACTCCTCTCTGCCTGCCCTGCTCGAATTCCCTGAGCTCTTCCAAAACCCCGATGCTGCGGAGTTGCTCTGGTTTCTAAAACCAGCAAGGTAGACTGGCAGATGTGGAAAAGCGGGTGGTCTTCCAACGACGCTGCCTCTGTTGGACCTGGAGAAACCACAGTGAAATCTGTAACTGTGCCTACTTTTCCTCTAGTGGGACTGGAGGCAGTTGGCGGGGAACGTTCTGCGTTCTTGGTGCGTTTTCTCACCCTGAGCCCCTCCACTGCAGGTTCATTGCAGAAGAGGCCGCAGCCTCCGGGGCCAAGTGCGTGCTCACCCGCAGCCCAACCTGGATCATCGACCCCATCGATGGCACCTGCAACTTTGTGCACAGGTAAGCGGAAGCAGGGAGCACCTCCATTGCGGGCTTGGCCGGTCCTCTTCTGTGGGCTTTTGTCTTTTCAAAAGCAGCATTTTTAAGGCAGGAGTACATAAACCTATAGTCGGTTTATAGTTTCATTAAAAAGATGATCAAATCTCGATATTTCTGAAATAAGGTTTACCATTTTTGAGAGGCTCTTGCAGGGTGTACTTGTTTAAAAACCGTTGCGTTTGTTAGGTTAAAAATGTTGGGTTGCATTTAAGAAGGACCCTTCAAGGAGTCCCCCGGAGAGGCAGGCAGAGTTGGAATGTGAAGCCTGTGCCAGCCGGCAGCCGCAGAGCCCGAGGTGTAGAGAGTGGCACGTGACAGGTGCGATCTGAGAGCCACCTTTGTGCACACGTGGGAGCAACCCTTGTGGTTACAGAAAGCAGGAGGTTTGGGGAGGCCAGGGGGCGGTGGAAGGGGGTGACGGGAATGCTACAAAGCTGGGGAGGTGATGGGGGGAGACGGGGACATGACCACAGGCGCTCTCGCACGGCTGGGCGGGTGGTGGACCTGCAGGTGCCTGTCCGGGGCCATGCACAGGTGGCTGAGGGCCTGGGGCACAGAATGTGAGGCCGCGTCCACGGAGGGTGGTTCTCTGGCTCGAGGGTGCCGAGAGCCCTGCAGATTCCCATTCCGTGGGGCGGGGCGGTCCACGGCTCACGGTTCCCACAGGCCCACACCCACAGGCCACGCCAGCACTGCCAGACCACAGGTGACAGTGAGAAGCGAGAGCAGAGCTGGGGTGTGGGGTTCCTCGCACCCAGTGCCAGCCTTTGTTTTTTCTCTAATGCTACGTTGATATTTAAAGTGTGTAAAGCAATTCCGAGGACCATGGTAAGCATAGCCTTTCCATAGGTGAGGGTCACCTTGAGAATGCAGTCATGCCTGCACGGGTGACCCTTTTTAGGCAACGGAGTACTGCGTCACCAGGCTGTCATTTCAGCTGAAGTGTGACCCCCAGGGTGAGTGTCGCGAGGGGAGCACCCGTCACTCTGTCCCACTTGTGGCTCCAGGGTACGCATGATGGGCATGCGGTGGGCTACGCACCGCCCAGGGTGAAGGCTACACGTCCATCTGAGGGTCTTCCCACAGCACCAGAGCCACGGTTTCCAATACTTGCCTCTGCAGCCCTTGGGGAACGTGGGGCCAGAGAGGCTGCTTGGAGGAGAGAGTCAATTTCAGAACAGACTCTGGTGCGGTGTGGACAGTTGGAGAGCACCAAGGGCCTGCCGTGCAGACGAGAAAGCTCTTCTGAGCGTTGGCGGCTGCTCCGGGAGCCAGCAGGCCAACCGCTTGGCATTCCAGAGCCCCGCACACCCGCCGTCAGGGTTGCATGCTGGGCAACTGGCTTCTCATTTCTCCTGTCGGCCTGCGGTACCCAGCCTTTCCTCCTTCCCGCCTGCTTTTTATTTCATTTCAGCGCATTACAGGGATATAAATGTTTCGGTTACATGAATTATAAATGTGCCCTCTCCCAGATAGCGGGCATTGTACCTGTTAGGTGTGTTTACCTGTCTCCTCCTCCCCTTCCCACCTACTTGATTTCCAATGAGTTTTATTTCCATATGTGCATGTAAGTGTTGTTCGATTAGTTCCAATTTGATGGGGAGTACACGTGGTGCTTGTTTTTCCATTCTTGCGACACTTCACTTAGTAGAATGGGCTCCAGCTCCATCTAGGATTATACAAGAGGTATTAGATCACCATTGTTTTTTGTGGCTGAGTAGAGCTCCATGGTATGCATATATCACATTTTATTAATCTACTCATATATTGATGGGCACTTTGGGTTGTTTCCACATCTTTGCAATTGTGAATTGTGCTGCTATAAACATTACTGTGAAAGTGTCTTTTTTATAAAATGTCCTTTTTTAGTTTGGGTAAATACTCAATAGTGCGATTGCTCGATCAAATAGTAGTTCTAATTTTAGTTCTTTGAGGTATCTCTATACTACTTGCCATAGAGGTTGTACTAGTTTGCAGTCCCACCAACAGTGTATGAGTGTTCCTATCTCTCTGTACCCATACCAGCATTTGCTGTTTTGGGATTTCTTGATAAAAGCCATTCTCACTGGAGTTAACTGATATCTCATTTTGGTTTTGATTTGCATTTCCTGATGATTAGAGATGTTGAGCATTTTTTCATGTGTTTGTTGGCAATTAGTCTATCTTCTTTTGAAAAGTTTCTGTTCATGTCTTTTGCCTACTTTTTAATGGGGTTGTTAGATTTTTTTCTTGCTGATTTACTTGAGTTCTTTGTGGATTCTGCTTATTAGCCCTTTGTCAGATGTATAGCATGCAAATATTTTCTCCCATTCTGTAGGTTGTGTATTTGCTCTAATGATTGTTTCCTTGGTTGTTGCAGAAGTTTTTAAATTTGATCAGGTCCCATTTATTTATTTTTGTTGTTGCTGTGATTGCTTTTGGGGCCTTCTTCATAAATTCTTTGCCTGGGCTAATGTCTATAAGAGTTTTTCCAATCTCTTCTTCTAGAATTCTTATAGGTTCATGCCTTAGGTTTAAGTCTGTTACCCACCGTGAGTTGACTTTTGTGAAAGGTGAAAGGTGCGGATCCTGTTTCAGTCTTCTACATGTGGCTATCCAGTTTTCCCAGCACCATTTACTCAATAGGGATTCTTTTCCCCAGCATATGTTTTTGTCTGCTTTGTCGAAGATTAGAGGGCTGTATGAGGATGGTTTTATATCTAGGATCTCTGTTCTGATCCATTGGTCTATGTCTCTGTTCTTGTGCCAGTACCACACTGTTGGTTACTATAGCTTTGTTGTATAGCTTGAAGTCTGGTAAAGTGAGGCCTTCTAATTTGTTCTTTTTGCTTAAGGTACCTTGGCTATTCGAGCTCTTTTCTGGTTCCATACAAAGCATAGAATTATTTTTTCTAGATGTGAGAAAAATGACATCTGTATTTTAATGAGGATTGCATTGAATCTGTAAATCACTTTGGGTAGTATAGACATTTTAACAATGTTAATTCCGATGATCTGTGAGCATAATATGTTTTTCCATTTGTTTAAATCCTCTGCGATTTCCTTCCTCAGTGTTTCATAGTTCACCCTGTATAGGTCTTTTCCTTCTTGGTTGAATATATTCCCAAGTATTTTATTTTCTTTGTTGCTATTGGGAAAGGTACTGAGTCTTTGATTCGATTCTCAGCTTGATTGTTGTTGGTTACAGGAATGCTACTGATCTGCATACATTGATTTTGTAACCTGAGACTTTGCTGAATTTATTTATCAATTCCAAGAATCTTTTGGCAGAATCTTTGGGGTTTTTTAGATATAAGATCATATCATCAATGAAGAGTGACAGTTTGACCTCTTCTTTCCCCTTTTGGACACCCCCAATTTTTTTCTCTTGTCTGATTGCTCTGGCTAGGACTTCTAGCACTATGTTGAATAGAAGTAGTAAAAAAGGCAACCTTGTCTGGTTCCAGTTCTAAGTGGGAATGCTCTCAAATTTTCTCCACTCAGTATGATGTTGGTTGTGGATTTGTCATATATGGCTTTTATAATTTTGAGGTATGTCCCTTCTATGCCTATTTTGTTAAGAGTTCTTATCATAAAAGGGTGCTGAATTTTGTCAGATGCTTTTTCCGCATCTGTTGAGAGAATCACATGGTCTTTGTTTTTGCTTCTGTTTATGTGGTGCATCACATTCATAGATTTGCGTATGTTGAACCATCCTTGCATCTTTGGGATGAAGCCCACTTGGTCATGGTGGATTATATTTTTGATGTGTAGCTAAATTCAGTTTGCTGGGATTTTACTGAGAATTTTTGCATCTATGTTCATAAGGGTTATTCGTCTGTAGTTCTCTTTTTTTGTTGTGTCCTTTCCTGGTCTTGGTATCAAGGTGATATTAGCTTTGTAGAATGAGTTGGGGAGGATTCCTTCCTACTCGATGTTATGAAATGATTTGTGCAGTATAGTTCTTTTGTGTAGGTCTGGTAAAATTCTGCTGTGAAACCATCTTGTCTGGGACTTTTTTGTTGGAAGATATTTTATGGATGCTTCAGTTTTGTTACTTGCGATTGGTCTACTCAGGAGTTCTGTTTCTTCCTGATTGAGCCTAGAGAGATTGTGTGTTTCCAGGCATTTGTGCATTTACTCAATGTTTTCAAGTTTATATGCATAGAGATTTTTATAGTATTCAGAGATGATATTTTGTATTTCCATGTTATCAGTTGTGATTTCTCCTTTTTCATTTCTGATTGAGCTTATTAGGGTCCTTTCTTTTCTGTCTCTGGTTAATCTAGCGAAAGGCCTGTTGATTTTGTTTATCTTTTCAAAGAACCAGCTTTTTGTTTTATTAATCTTCTGTATAATTCTTTTGGAATCAATTTCATTTAGTTCTGCTCTGACCTTAGTTATTTCTTTTCTTCTGCTAGGTTTGGGATTGGTTTGCTCTTCCTTTTCAAATTACTTGAGATGATTCATTAGATGGTTGATTGTGATCTTTCTATCTTTTGGACATAGGCATTTAAGGCTATGAATTTTCCTCTTAGGACTGGTTTTGCAGAATCCCGCAGATTTTGGTAACTTGTGTCCCTTTTGTCACTTAGTTTGAAGAATCTTTTGAGTTCCGTCTTAATTTCCTCTTTGACCCAATAATCATTCAGCGGTAGGTTGTTTAAGTTCCATGACTTTGTGTAGAGTTGAACTTTTCTGTTGGAATTGATTTCTAATTTTATTCCACTGTGGTCTGAGAAGACACATGGTATAATTTCTATTTTTTTTAATTTGTCAAGATATGTTTTGTGGTCTAGGATGTGATCAGTCTTAGAGAATGTTCTGTGAGCTGATGAGAAGAATGTACATTCAGTTGTTTGGGGGTAGAATGTTCTGTAAATGTCTGTTAGGCCCATTTGTTCTAGAGTCCTGTTTAAGTCCATTGTTTCTTTGTTTATTTTCTGTTTGGTGGATCTGTCCCATTCTGTCAAACGGGTGTTGAAATCCCCAGCTATTTTAATGCTGCTGTTTATCATTTTGTTTAGATCAAATTGGATTCGCTTTATGAATATGGATGCACCTGTGTTAGGTACATAGATATTTAGGATTCTTCTGTCTTCTTGTTGAATTGTTCCCTTCACCATTATATGATGACCATCTTTGTCTTACTTTACTTCTGTTGATTAGAAGTCTGTGTTGTCTGATATGAGAATGGCTACACCAGCTTTCTTTTGGTTTCCATTTGTATGGAATATGGTTTTCCATCCCTTCACCTTGATTCTGAATGAGTCCTTTTGGGTTAGATGCATTTCCTTGAGACAACAGACACTTGGCTTGTATTTTTTATCCATTCAGCCAACCTATGTCTCTTTAATGGGGAGTCTAAACCATTTACATTTATTGAAAGAGTTGATAAATGGGGTGGATTTCTGTTTACCCTGTTGAATAGACCCTTATTGCTTTGTTTTACCTCTTGAGCCATTGTGATATCTGGGCTCTGACCTGTAGCTTTTGGGTGGTTTTACATTTTGTCTGTTGTGCTGCTGATCAGTGTATAATGAGGATCTGAGTACTTCCTACAAGACAGGTCTCGTCTTGACAGATTTCCTCAGCATTTGCTTGTCTGAGAAAGTCTTTATTTCTCCCTCATATAAGAAACTTAGTGTTGAAGGATACAGAATTCTAGGCTGGCCATTATTCTGTTTGGGGAGAATGGGGCCTAGTCCCTTCTGGCTTGTAAGGTCTCAGTTGAGAAGTCTGCAGTTAGTCTGATGGATTTTCCTTTGTAAGTTACCTGATGCTTTTGCCTTCTGGTTCGTATGAGTTCCTCTTTTGTTTTAACTTTGGCCAGTCTGATGACTATATGTCGTGGTGATTGCCTCTTGGTGATGAATCTCCCAGGAGTCTGTTGTGCTTCTTGAACCTGGATGTCCAGATTTCTAGCAAGACCTGGGAAATTTTCCTCAAGTATTATCTCAAATATGTTTTCTAGCTCTTGTCTATTTTCTTCTTCACCCTCAGGGATGTCTATAATTCTTATGTTGGGCCTCTTTATGTAATCCCACATTTCTTGTAGGCTTGCTTTGGTTCCTCTACTCTGTTCTTTCTCTTTGACTGACTTGTTTAATTCAAAGGCGTTGTATTCTAGCTCTGAGATTCTTTCTTCTGCCTGATCTAGCGTATTCTTAAGGCTTTCCACTGTGTTTTGTATTTCCTTGAAAGAATTTTTCATTTCCAGAAGCTCTGCTTGATTTTTTTTTAATAATTCAATCTCTTTAGTGAATTTTTCATTCATTTCCTGTATTGTTTTTGTGGTTTCTTTGTGTTGGGTTTCTATTTTCTCTTGTATTTAATTGAGCTTCCATATAATCCATATTTGAAATCCTTTATTAGTCATTTCAATATTCTCTTTGGTTGGTTTCCATTGACACAGAATTATTGTTTTCTTTTCGGGGTATCCTTTCGCTCTGATTTTTCATGTATCTGGAAATCTTTTACTGATTCCTTCTCATCTGGAGCAGCTTTTGCTTCTTATTTTTGGGTTTTCTTTTGATTAGATAGTGGCATGCCCAGTTTAATCTCTGAGACAGTGGGTGGTGCTTGTGGGTGAGACTCAACTACACCCTGTATGATTGAATCAGTAAATGCTGTAAAGGGTGTGAAAATTTACCTCCCTGTCAGTAGGTTGTGCTTGCTGGAAGGAACAAGCTACAATGTTGTTTTTGGGTCCTATGGTGACTCTAGTCCCTCCAGAGAAGCGCTTGATTGCCCCAGGTGGTGGATGGGGCCCTAGAACGTGAGGTGAGTCCTTATTCTCTGCTACAGCAGAGGCAGGTTGGGGAGTGAGGCTGGGCTGGATGGGGCTGGGTTGGGGGAGCTTTCCCCCAGGCTCCTCCAAAGCTGGCAAGGGATCCTTCTTGCTGGACTCCAGGCCTCTCAGGGGTTCATCTCCGCCAATATCCTGCACCTTTGTGTTCTCCTACTTCTGGGTGCTAGAAGTCTAAGATCAAGGTGCCAGTGGGGTTGGTTTCTTTCTAACCTCTCTTGTTCCCACCTGTTTTTAACCTCTGATGATCTTCACATAAAGGAGGGATTATTCTGAGGACATCAAACAGCAACAACAAAATCACCAAATAAAATCACAGGCACACTGTGATGTGAAAACCGTCCTTGTGCCACCACAGCTCGCCCTGCTGGCTTCTTGGGTGCTAAGCAGGGACAGGAAAGGGGACAGGGTGTGGGTGGTGCCAGAGGTGGCCTGTGGCTCAGAACTGGCCCCATGGGAAGGCTTGGCACCTTCCAGGCACCCCATGCCCCACCTGGGACAGGGGCCTGACCTTTTGGGAGGACTCTGCTGTCGCTTTGGGTCTCTGAGAACCAGGAAACTGATTATTCAAATCCAAATTAGGTATCAGAGGGTCATTGTTTTATTGCATCAGCCTCATGTGACTTTCAAGGTTAAGTGTCTGACCACATAATCAGCTAAGTTTGTTTGTCTTGGAAGTAGTTAGTGAAACAGTGGGAAGTAGTTTTTTAAAAACAACCCACCCAGAGTGTACAAAGGTCCTTGTGTGCCCTGGATGAGCCGCACCGCACACGCAGGCTCCTGAGAGCTGGCGCTCCTGTTTCAGGGTGTGAACCGTTCTGCTTTCCTTTGCAGGTTCCCAACCGTGGCAGTCAGCATTGGCTTTGCTGTTCACCAGGAGGTAGGCAGTGTGGCCCAGGGTCCCCGAGGGCCCTCGTCCTTCCTTCCCACTTCAGCCTCCGCTTGTTTTGCTTTCTGTCCCATGCCTCTACCATGACTGGTAGATCCAAGTCTGGTTCCTGAATCTGAGAGAGTGAACAAACACAAACCGGTTTTGGGGTGTGCAGGTGTGGGGCTCCGTGGCCAGCCCTCACCCCCACAGGAGGCCGGCCCTGGCCTCTGCATGGTCTTCTCATGATGCTGCCATGGAAGCGGAAGTTCTGAGTTAGTCTCGGTCCGAGTCAGTCTCCATCTGACCCCTAGAGCGTGTGATCAAGTCACAACAAAAAGGAGCTCATATTTTTGGAGAACGTTTTTCATCCCAATATTCTGTTAATTTTTTATCTTCCTCTGGCTGTTAGTATGAGAACGTGGCTCTTCCAAGGTTCCCATAGACCTTCTGAACTCCTCGATGTCATGGGGCCTGCGTGGAAGGCTTGGGGCTGAGGTTTAAGCTTTATTAGCCAATTCAAGCAGCAACACTTAGAAGAGCCTTCGTTTCTCTGTAGTGAAAACAGTTTTATTTGAATGGGTCTCCCCAGCATGACTCTCCTTCAGAACAGCATTTGTTCATGCTAATCCTCGGTCTCAGTGTAGATTCCCTAGCATGGAAGCTGAGAGAAGTTTACACCCATCTCAGAGCACTTAAGGCGAAGATAAGTAAGAATTTTAATATTGAAATTTGGGTAAGGACTTAATTACTGTCTTGTTTCTTTGCTAAATGTCAGGAAGCCCTGTTAGTGTGGGAAGCTGAGCCGTACTTTAGGGAGACAACTGATGTTTGTGACCAAGATCTTCCCAGTGACCAGGGGGAGGGGCTGCTGGGAGGGCTGGCCGGGGCCTCAGCCCATCTGTGAGTCACGGTGTCTGTTCTTGTTCCCGGTGACTTAACGGGGAGGTACTCCCTCTTCTCCCGGGTCTGGGTCCTTTTACAGGCCCTCAGAGACCAGCACAATTCTAGGCTTGACCTGGATTTGCAGAGCCCTTTAAAGCCAGGGCCCTGGGAAGGGAGGAGGATGGTTAAGTATCGCTAGAAAGCTGCAGGCTCTCCGCAAGTGCTCGCTGAATGACCCTCTCCCAGAAACCAACCCGTTTTCTGTAGGTCGGGGCATCCATCGGTTCAGCTCACCCAGGGCCAGCCACGGCTTTCCTAAGGCACCTGGCCCGAGTCTTCATTTTCCAGAGATATGGACACTTGGCTGACCCCACGCCAAGCATGCTCGCCCTTGTTAATCCTGAGTAGTGAAAAGTAGGAAGAGGGAGGGTAACAAAGGCGCAAGGGTCCGAGGCTGCATCGTTTTTCACACTGACCCCTTCATTTTGCTGTTTCTTGCTGGGAAGGTGGCGTCTGACCTTTGTCACCGCTTACAGCAGCAAGGCTGCCGCTTAGCACTCTGCGCTGCAGGGACGAAGGCCCGCCTCACTGGTGCGTCGCTTCTGTCTTCCCCGGGCTGCCCTTGGGTTTTCGGATGTGTTCTTCATTCTTCACACATCAGCAATTTTGAGGACGTCTTAGGGGTTTGGAGTCACAAGTAGCCTTTTTTTCCCAGTAAAAAAGAGCTTTCTAAAGAATTAAACTTTTCCAATAACTTTTGGTTACTAATGTACGATTATGATTGTTAATTTCTAATATAGTTATTAGTCTTAATATGTTTTAAAATATAGTTATTTAACAAAAGAAAACTTTTTCATGTCCAGGTCTAGTTTTAAATCTAGACACTGATTTTTTTCCGCTCCTTTTTGAAAGATAATTTCTGCCCCATCATACTGCGTTCGTCTTAATGCCTAGAGCAGCCTTCATCTTTGAATCACTGTGTTTTTTCCGTGTCAAATGAGTGAACCACGTTTGTTTTCTGTCCTGCCTCTGCACCCGCAGCTTGAGTTCGGCGTGATTTACCACTGCACGGAGGAGCGACTGTACACAGGCCGGCGGGGCCGGGGCGCCTTCTGTAACAGCCAGCGGCTCCAGGTCTCCAGAGAGACAGGTGGGCTTCACGAGGCTCAGCTCAGGTCATTCCGACGGAGGCGTGGGAATGGAAAATGCCAAAGTCACTATCACGTGGGACGGTGGTGGAAATCTCCCGCTGATGCTTTCGTCTCTTCCTAGGGACATCGTGTCCCTGACGGACGGAAGTCGAGCCAGTTCTGTGTCTTAATGTGTTTGGTAATGTGGCCAGGAGCTTTAAATAGTCTCGTTCTGTTCCCCACTCACATCCTTCACTCTTAAGGCAGAGAGGACTCTGGTACAGTTAGGATTGGTCTGGTGGGACGGGGTGAGCAATGCAGGGCCAAGGATAGGGAGAAGCATGCTCTAGCCCTCAGGTGCCTAGGTGCACCTCAGTGGTCCTGATGTCACCCAGGCAACGTCATCCAGGTGCAGTCTGTGGCTCCCTGAGTTTAGACTGACAGCATTTGGCTTCAGTTTCTGTGAGAAGCAGCAGCCTCGGGAGTGAGTTCCATAAACCAGTGGAGGTTCCACACACCTTGGACCCTGTGGCTATGGTCCGCCCTGATTTCCTTAGAGCAGAACCTCAAGGACATCCCGTAGCTTTTAGAAAGGGCTTCTGGCCATGCACGGTGGCACACGCCTGTAGTCCCAGCACTGTGGGGGGCCGAGGCAGGAGGATCACCTGAGCCCAGGAGTTCGAGGCTGCAGTGAGCTGTGATGATGCCACTGCACTCCAGCCTGGGCGACAGAATGAGACCCTGTCTCAAATACATATAGCTAGATAGATGATAGATTGATAGATAGAAGATAGACTGACAGATAGATGATAGATTGATAGAATGTAGACTGATAGATAGATGACAGATGATTAGATAGAAGGGGCTCCCGTCATGCCCACTCTGCCTGTACTGCGCGCAGCCGCCTGTCATTAACTGTAGGCCTGCTTAGGGTTTCCACTGGCTTTCTTTGGCTTTTCTCCCATGTTGATTAAACTAATGCTATTTTATTGCGTCGTGAGATAGGTTCTAGAGAGCTGTGGTCCCCAAGCCCCGGGATGCGGACTGGTCCCGGCCGGTGCCTGGTAGGGACTGGGCTGCCGAGCTCCGCCGAGTGCCCCTCCTCCCCGCCCTGTGCGTGCAAAATAGTCTTCCATGAAATGGCCCCTGGTGCCAAAAAGGTTAGGGGCTGCTGCCGTAGGGGACGGAAACATGCCAGACAGAAATGAAAGGGAGAGCCCCAGACTAGCAGCCGCTGGATGAGAAAACTAAAAGCTCTTCAGTGTCCACGTTGGGTTTGAGCAGGTAGAAAGCACAGTTCCTGCTAATTCCTAGCTCGCCCGTTTCTGGAGCTGGACATGTCCCCCCACCCCCAGTCACGTCCCACTGCTGAAGGTCACGTCCCCCCACACCCGCCATTTCCAGCCTGTTTTTAAAATGCCCTTCCTAGCTCCCTTCCCGTGGCGTCTCTCTTTATTCCCGAGTTGCTTCCTCCCCGGCTGTCACCTGTGCCCAGATGGCCCCGAAGGCAGGGAGAGGAGTCGGGGTCGTGTGAGCCCGTGCGCCCAGCGCGAGTGGCGGGCTGGGGCAGAGCGGCTGTTAGGAGATGGCCCGCCAGCGTGTGAAGGACAAGTGAAGGAGGGGTGGGGGACAGTGGAGGGGACAGGCGGCTGCTGCAGAGCCGCGAGAGTCCCGAGCGCTCGCAGAGCAGAGGACGGGAGAACACGCAGGGGCCTCCGAGGGAGCCGGCAGGGCGGCCTGGCCAGTTCGTGCTCCTGACGCAGAGAGCCCGGCCCCGTTTCTCCTGCTCCGGGAGAGTTTTGTTTGGCTGTGTACAACGTCACGTTAATTACGGCTCTGCACGCCAGGAGGCGCCCACTCAAGCCTAATTGTGTAACACGGTGGTGAGGAAGCGTGTTATTAAACATGCTCCGGTGAACTTTGCTCTACATTTCGTTGGACTGTAACACTGAGCTCTATTCACACACGCCCAGCTTCCTGGTGGCCGCCTGCACAGCTCAGCCCCGCGTGGCAGCTCACATCCTCGGCGAGGCCTGCTGGCGCAAGCTCAGGCTCGCCCGAGCCCCGCGGGGCGGGGGCCCTGCCCGGTCACCTCCGCATCCGGCCCCCAGGAGGCACCTGGTAACTCCGCAGAATGAAGGCGGCGCCCGCCCCGTGGCATCCATTGCTCAGACTTGGTGGTCACCTCCCCTCTGCACACTGCTGTGCCCTGGCTCCCACTTCGCTCCAGAGTGCTGTGTTCCAAGGCTCATTGGCACTTTTTAAAAATTATGGCAAAGTGCAGTGAGTTGCTTTCAACCCTGGTCATTTTCTTTTTATGGGTAACTGGATTTCAGTAGGAGGTGAGAGAGTAGACGCCGCAGCAACAGCATCCTTAGGCACCATGCAGGCCTGGTTTCAGATCTGGATTCTGCCACCTTTAGGGCACCTTGAACTTGAGCAAGTGGGTTAACCTTCTGAACCTCAGTCCTCATGTTTAAAATGGGGATGATGATGACAGGAATAACGGTGAGGATGAAATAAAATTATATCTTACACATAAAGCACCCAGCACAGTAGCAGGTACATAGTGTCCAAAAATGAGAGCCATCATCAAAGAAGAAATGAGAGTCATTGCACAAGACGAGTCAAGCTGTGACCCGCTGTTAAAATTAGGCTGCGTTTCTGGAGGACACAGCTGTTAAAACCACCACTTCTAATCCTGTCTCTGCTTCCCTTGGCCTCCTTTTTCATTCCCATTATGCCTTTCTGGAATGTCGTCAACTCACAAATTAAAAAACAGAAAAAAAACTACACCATGTAGAGGTAAAGGACTCGATGAAGGCCGCAATTTCATTAGGAGCTTTTTCTTCAAATCCTACCCTGCGAAATTCCTGACGCACAAAGCAGGCAGAAAGCGCGAGGCAGCGGCAGCACCGCCGGCTAACTCTCGGCTGCCGCCCAGCCCCCGACATGCATCCCAGGCAGTGGCGACTCGCCGGCGGGGATGTCAGATGTATTCATAGCTCCAAAACGTACAGACTGTTCTTTTAAAAACGTAATCACAGCACCAGTGTTCTCCCTGCCAAAAACTATTCGTTCCTGAAATCATCAAATCTCCAGTCAGTGTTCAAATTTCCAATTGTGTCATTTTTTGGAAAATGGCCTTCCAAGGCCGCAGTCTGGGTTTTGGGGAACTTATTGCTCCCAAGGGGTCGGTCTTTGTTGCTAGGCCTTTTCAGTGGACAGAGCTAGGAAGTGAGTTGGTTTTTAAATATAAAATTCATCTGAGTTATACTGATGTTTTGGACTGAAATTCGTAACTGCTGGCTTTTCTACTTAACTCCGTCTCCTGCCCTGTGCTAAGACCCCTAGATCACAGGGACCCCAGGAACGATCAAACTCATGATGTCACACAGTTGCTTGTTTGCTTTAAAGCCACGATACACATTTATCAGTTTCGGAATAACACTGCTAGCCCTGCTGTCAACAGTGATTACTGAAAATAGTTTGAAGGGTTTTTAACTTTGCTTTGTCTTTTTGTGCTTAGCGCCTCTCCCGGTAGAATGTACAGTAGAATGTACGGTCAGTGTGTTCCCTCGTTCCGTTACCTGCTGAGAATGATCATTTAGATGCCTGTTTTAGTTTATTTTTAACTTAGAGGGATTACTTTTTGAAAATTTGATTTCATTTTATAATTATGTAAAAATAAGTACAGTGTTCTCAAGTCAAATCCATAAAGTATATTCAAAGAGGTTTAGCGTCCGGCCTTGTCCTCCCAACCCTCCTCTCTCTCTCCCCCAGAGATAACTGTTCAAGAAATTTAGTTTATCCTTTCATTGTCTATGTTAAGTGTTTTTTAAATACGCAGCTATTTTATTGCTTTTATTCTTTGTTTTGGTATAAATTTTAGTATTTAGAGAGTTCTATATTTTTGTTTTTATAATTCCCTTTATATTAAAATTTTTATAGACTATACCTACTCGCTTCTTTTCGGGATTACTGAACTTAGCTTGTAACCTCTTCTTCCCTGCTGCTTCTTATACGCCAGCGTATGTTTAAAACACGATATCCTTTTGCTCTCAGTAACCACGAGGCACTTGGCAAGCTTTTTCTACCGGCCACACGCTCTCCCTGTTCTCACCTTTGGATGGTGGTCGAGTGCGCGTCGGCAGACCGCCTCGCTGTTGGGCGCCCGCTCTCACTTTAAAGCCACAACTCAGTCTTGGTTCCACAGGAAAATACAGATTTAATACTCAGCACCAGTCCTGTGCGTCGATGTATCTGCAGTTGTTTTCGTTGTGTGATTTCTGTGCACTTTTTGATCTTAGGACCGACCCATTTGTACTTACAAAAAACTTATTGAAGTCCCTCAAAGAGCTAAATCTGTTGATATTTATGTATTAGAAATTTAAAATAAGAAATCTTTAAAATATTTATTAATTCATTTTTTAAAATGAAAGATTCATATTTAAACATGAATAATATATTTTTATGGAAAATAATCATATTTTCCAAAACAAAAAAAAGTTTTTGGGAGGAGAGTGGCATTGCTTTACATTTTTTCTCAATCTCTTTATGTCTGACTTAATAGAAGACAACTAGATTTTCCTATCGGCTTCTGTATTCAATCTGTTGTTAATACATTGTTTTGATGTATGAAGAAAATCTGGCCTCGCATAGATACGTAGCTGGAAAAAGAAGCAGTTATTTTAATTATCTTTTCAGATAATCGAGGACATTCTTCTATGATACTAGACCAAAACTCCATGAGTAGTGGTTTCCTAAAGGTTGGTTGCAGTGTGACATCTCAGATAGCAGTGGGTGTTTGGTTCTTCGTCACACTGAGGTCCACTGGGCTGTCCTGTACTTTGAATAGATCTTTTGCCCACGGATGGTTTTGTAACTTCATGCGTTGTTCACTGGGTAATGGGTTCACTGAGATTTCCAATTCTGCCTAATGTTGATGTACTTCACTATAAAATACTAAAAACTGTCATGCTTATTAATATCACCACTCTTAGAAGTCTTTAAGTGTTTG